GGGGGGGGGCGCTGGAGCGGGTGGGGTCAAGACCTAGGTGGTCCCTATTTGAGGCTCCGGCCCTCCTGGGGGGCCTCCTGCGCCCTGGCTCGGCCCTGGCAGCCACAGGGCTGCCGCACTTTAGCCCCCCTCCCCCGCCCCCAGTGAACACCCCTCTATTCCAGGGTAAGGCCAGAGCTTATGGGTTCTCTTGGCAGGGGCTGGGGGGCACGACTTCACCTGGGGTGAGCTGGCCGTGGGGCTCTGAGGCCTTTTTGGGATCTGAGAGGCGGCTGGATATACACCTGGGGGGAGACCCCAAGTGGCATTATTGCACTCCACACTAAGAAACACCCTGGGTCACTGCCCGGAGGGTCGGCCCCGACTAAGGGCCGCCCGGCCCCCAGCCCCGGCCCATGGAAGTGTCCACACCGGCCTTGCCCTGGAGCGCCCCCTCTGGTCGGTGACACTGCTCCAGCCTGCTATGCGGCGGCCGAGTCACCAGCTCGTGGGGGTCCACCCCACCCGGGAAAGCGTCTGTGGCTCAGAGGGTCCGGCGGGGCCGGGCGTGGGTCTCCGGTGTGGGCACAAGGGGCAGCCTGCAAGGCTCAGCCATCGAGGGGTCTGTACCTGACCCAGGCCGTCCTCAAAGCCACACGGTGGACACAGCTGGCTAACTCGCCCCACCAGCCCCTCCCCAGCCCAGTCTGGGAGGCTCAAGGCCTCAAACAGACCCTCCAGGGGTCCTCCCGACTATTTACATCAAGTCCAGGGGCTCAGGAGGACAAGGTTTTGCCTTTATTGACCGTCTGTGTGCACAGCACATACACGTGGGGTCGGCACCTGTATAAAACTACAGGTGTGGGGACAGGTAAGCACAGGAACCTACGGCTCTTCGCAGCGGCGTCGGGGCGCCAGGACACGCCAGGTCACGGGCGGGCCCGCAGCCCGACGCTGTTCTGGGCAGGCCACGTGCGCTCCCGCCGCCCGCTGCCTCCTGGGGCCCGGGGTGGGCTGGGCCCCGCAATCCACTGAGTCCAGTCGTCTGCAGCCCGAGGTGGTCCAGGCTCAAGGCTTTGCAAGTGGCTGCTTTCTTCCAGGCCTTGCTTTCAGAATAGTATTTTAAGTAGACGATTTGCATTTGAACAAAGAGTTTGAAAAGGGGTGTGAAAGACAAAAGCCCAGACTTCCCCAGTGCGCAGCGACTCCATAAAGTTAATTCGGGAGCCGGTTCAGGAACGTCCCGGCCGGCCTGCGTGAAAGTCAGCAAACATTCGGAGCATTTCTGGAAGCAGGCGGAGGGCGTCGAATAAACTCTCCAGTCATTCATTAAAATTAAACGTTTGCCATCACCTCGGGATTTTTTTAACGCACCGGCCCTGCCTCTTCCATCTGTTTGAACGACAGGGGTTACATTTGCAAAATATATAAAGAAAAATATAAGGTTACTTGGTGACCAAGTCGCGCACGCACAGCTGTCTGCAAATATTTTCCCCATGATTATCCTTACTAAAAGTAAATCATGGGGTAAAGATAGCTCAAACGTGACAAGGTTCGAAGGGCAACCTCCGCCAAGCAAGCTGAACCTTTTCGGGGTACTTATGGGGTGAAGCCGCGGGGGGGCGGCGCGTCCCACGCGTGGCCGAGGATGCGAGGCAGGTGCAGGGCGCCGGCTCCGGGATGCGGGCCTCTGCGGGCAGCGGGTGTCCACACACTTCCAGGCCACTCCACGTGAAGTCCTCGGGGGCGCAGCCCCAGCGCCTGGGCTGGAGGCGCCTGCAGAAACGGGGTGCTCTCGTGGCCCCTTCCTGCGTTCGTGGGGTCCGGCCCTCTCCGGGCAAAGGCGTTTCTGGCCTCCGCCGCGGCGGCCTGGAAGGCTGCGGCCCACCCGGGGCCGCCACACGGGGTCAGCGCGCGGCCGGGGCTCCCCGGGCGGAGCCAGAGGATTGACGGCCGCAAGTTCAAAGGTTCCTCTCAGCAGATCTAAAAGCAGGCCAGCGCCGCGCTCCGCCGTCCACACAGCACTTCTGGACCCCAAGTAAACTGACACACCCCGACTTTCCGCCGCAGCACACAACAGGGTGGGCGCTGGAGGGCACTCCGAGGGACGTGGGAGCAGCCCCCGGGCCACCCCCGGCCCGTCCACGCCACCGACGCGCTTGGAGACGGCACGAGTGACCGCTGAGCGCACACCAACGAGGGGCCCACTGCTCCCCAGGAAAGCCAGGGCTGGGGCATTTTTTTGTGTGTTTTTTTTTCCAGAAAAATACAAAACAAACCCACAGAAGCATAAATAATCTGGTGACAATATGTACACATTTAAATAATTAATTTAAATATCTTACACCTCCTCTTGCATGGAACTGTCCGTCGGAAGAAAGCACCCCCGCACGAGCGCCCCGGCTGAGGCAGGCGCTGGGCTCACAGGCGCGGGAGGAAGTGGGTGACCTTCATGGCGGGGGACACCCGGGTCCCCTTCTTGGTCTTGCCGTTCTTGCTCAGGGCGATGAACGAGCCGGGGTGCCGGTGGCACTCGTAGGCATTGTAGTTGTTGGGGAGCAGAATCTCCTTGAACTTGCACTCCTCCGTGAAGAATGGCTGGAGGGCGGGAGGCGCAGAGTGAGACGCCCACCCCGGCCCAGGGACCTTGGGGCCAGCGGGCAGGGGCTGGCCGACGCCCTCTGGCAGAGCGGGGTCTGTCCTGGCGAGTGGGGGTGAGGTGAGAAGGGGGCGAACCCCCCAACAGCAGGCGCCACTGTGTTCGCTGAGGGGCAGCCCTTCTGCCCACGGAGGGGCCACCCCAGTTCCAGTCTGCACACCCCGAGCCTGGCGCCATGGGAGGGGGAAGCGGCAGCTCCGAGGTGCAGGCTAGGGCAGCCTGGGCACGGGCGGGCACTCACCGAGCCGTAGAGCTTGCCCTTGCTGCTCATGGCCACGAAGAAGCGGCTGGCCACGCCGTAGATGCTGACGACGCCCCTCTCCACCGGGGAGAGCTCCAGCAGGCCTGGGGGCGGGGCGGCCGGGTCAGGGCGGGCAGGGAATGGCCCTCACGGCCCGCGCCCCCCCTGCCTGCACGCCGAGGACCCCCCTATCTGGGGCGGGTGATCAGAGGCCCAGGCCCAGGTGCCCGCCTCCCCACGAACCGGGCGGCCGCGCGGGGGCCGCGCCAGG